CGTTGGAGTGAGCCCTTGTGCTTGTACTTGTTCCCGCAGTCGACGCATTCATATAGAGTCCACCCAGCTTTACCGCTGCTCAAGCCAGGCGTACCATAACTCAATATATAAGGAGTGTACAACTGTGCAACTGAAATTAAAGGCAAATAAAAATAAATACGTGCACATAACAGCTACCACCGTGAAGTGTAAAGCGAAGCCACCGATAGAAATGTGCTACCGTGTGAAAGCTTAGGAAAATGCACCATGTCTCCCATTAATTTGCTCATGAACTACTGATATTAATCTAATACTAGCTCCCTTAATTCTATTATAAATTCGCATGCAACCAGATATGCATAGTAATATTAGTTACAATACGTATTTGATAAAATTTATTGAAATTGTTAATTTCAACAAATCACTTTATTATATTATTATCTGAACAATAAAATTTTTACATGCATAATAATAGTTTTATTATTAATTAAGTACACAATGAAATATTGATTCGTAACAACAATAAAATCTCCATGTCATGAAGTCAGAAGATAAACCCAGCCCGTAATTATTGAAGTTATTAAAACAAATACATACCAAGAATAGCAACTTTATTTAAAATACAAAAAGGTTATAAAAAAATACAATCAAATGCATTTTAATCACTGTAACTTCTTATTGACAGTAAACTGTATCTACAATAACTACAAAAATATTCTAGGTAGTAATTTCTTAAATATAAAGAATAACTAGGTTTTGTCCGTAACATCACTTGGGTCATGATACTGATTGGCGAGACGTCGTCGACTCAATATTCCTCTCTGCTCTACTTCATCTAGCAACGCTTTTTACTTTATCACAGCTATATGTGCTTTATTCTGTATAATATATGTTGTATTTAATAAAACTACAGGGATTCTATAATGTATGATTGATGATGTACTGTTTATATCACAACCTAGAAATTTTGCAATAAGTAATAAGTTACGAGTCATCCATTGATTGAACCAAAAGTTATTTTACTGAAATATTTTAAACCCTAATGACTAACTTTTTGAAGGCACTTAGTTTTATACTGACAAGATTTATATGGTTGTACTTTGTGAACTCTACATTTTGATTGTATGATGGTAACTCCAGCGGATAATAATCTAATGTGGTAGTTTGTTGGTAAATTCACTCAATTGTAACTCGGTATGTCTTGTGGTTGTATTTCAGTGTAATTAAATCGTAATCTAGAGCTACGACGGTATGAGTTTACATACATGCTACCACTGCCTAAACTTAATAATAATATCTAAATGGTAATGTATAAAATACTTATTTCTATGTGGAAGATTATGGAACTTCCTTGACATATCAACATGATTGTGCTTAAGTCATTGTAACAAACCTGTAATGGCAGTGTATCAATCAAATTCCAAAAGATTCAACAATCATTTTAAGGCACTCTTTTGTCCAAGTACTCACTAATAAATTGGCCCCAAATATAATATCAATCGCATACAGTACTGATACTCATCTCGAGGAACTACAGAGAACCAATCTTCACACATATTACAACTGAAACATATCAAGCTTAAATTAAAAATAAAATAAATGCATTAGATGTAAAGAGATCTAAAAATAAATTGAAATAAAAAAATTAACTTATGAGTATTACAATAATAATGGAACATGCATTTATGGCAAAGAACTAGTGCTTGCTAACTAAGCGAAAATAGCTTCATTTTCATTAATCTATGATATAGTAGGTAGAAATCTTGTACACGATTGTATGTTTTCAAGTACCCCCGATTACAACAATAATCAATCTAAATCAAAACTCAACAGCTCTTGCTCTCACAAATTGAATACAATTTGGTCTTTTGAGTTTAAGTAATAATAATTCTATTCTCAGTGTCATAAAACTGAATATCCATAATAATTAATCTACAAATTTAGATTTAGAAGATAGTAACTGCAATTGGTAACAACAATATTAATCAAAAGTATTTTTTCATCAAACTGTCGCTTTAAACTTCATTATACGCAACCAGGAATGATAGTTTACAATATTAAATGCTGTACATTAAAATATAAAAAAGAGAGTAAAACCGTAACTATACAAAATCACTTGTACACTTAACATACTGGATAAATGCAACAGTTGCAAACACTGCTACGGCCATGTAACAGCGTGAATACTATCAGTAATTCGCAAATTGTTCAAGTTCATAAAGGTAGGTCTATATATCGTCATCATAACTTCGATTTTTACGTTAATTATTCGATTAGGTAACGATTTAAGGCACTGTTTGTGACCTCACGAATGGCGATTATATCTAACGTGACTGTCTGACGCCACTATCACAAAAGAGATTTCATCACATTTATCACAATAAGGATAACTTGGGAATTTGTAAGAACTTCTTTAACTACAAGAGTTATAAAACTTTAAATTTAACATACCTACTAACGATTCTATAACGCCAAAATAGATTTATCAAAAATGGTATTTAGTCATAACTGTGTCCATAGCAGTAAACTTGATATGTAAAACCTAATTATCGATCAACGTGCTTATTAAATATGGAGTATTTATTTAGTGACTAATTCGAAGAGTAGGTCGCTATGTGCAGGCGTCCACGTTGTCCTGCTTTATGTACTGCTCGGGTTTGATGTGTACCTCGCGGTGCATGCGTTCCATGTGGCGAGCAATGTGCATCTTCTGCTTCGCACGGTACACGCAGTAGGGGCACTGGAACTGAGGCTCTTTGCCGCACTCCCACTTCTGGTGATTTCGCAGGGAAGATTTCAGTTTGTAGACTCTGCCACAGTCCGCGCACGTGAAGCTCGGTTCGCCAACTGTCGGAGGTAGGGACGGCGCCGGGACCCTCATGCCAGCGAAAGGCAGCGCAAGGCGAGCCGACCACTGGTCCCACGTGAGTCCTCCAATCCTAGTGAAAGACACGTCTTCAGGACCGCTGCAGCCGCCGCCTGAAATCGCGGAGATATATCATAAAATGGGTTCGTAACGCGGCCGTTCACACAAACGCAACATTCAACATTCCCGTGAGGTTAACAACAGTTACAAGCAAAACATAAATACATGTTATATACATACAATACACATAGTACGTACGAATAAATAGATATATAATATAATAGATATATAAAGGTAGTATTCTACTGTGAGTGTCCACCGAGTGCTGTGATGAAAGCTTTGCAAAAAAAGGAAAAGTAAAAAAAAAGAACAAAAAGGAGAAATAACGTTTATTTTTTATAATCGTGTTTTGTATCGAAAATTCACTGTTTCACAATAATTTTGTTGCTCACAGTGGTTTTTGAAGCGACTCACAATTTTTTATACTAGGCATGTAAAGAAATCTCATGGTGTTACTGGAGCATTTTAGTCACACAGCTTTTGTCATTGTAATAAACATTTTGTTAATGAAATGTAGTCTCCTGACCCATGGGCTTTCTTGTCTACCTGAAATTATTAATTATATTAGTATGAACGAAAAGGGAAAAGAATATAATGCAACATGCCCAAGTTGAAAACGCAAGCGAGTGATTTCTGACGATGTTTTATTGACGACCATGCGTACATGCGTTGTTAATCGACGAACGGATAATATGCAGAACAAATTGACTTACCTAATAACAAGTTACAAACGTGTAATGATATAAACTGGAATAGGAATAGGCAAAAATTTTATGAAGCAAGGAAAACACATTTGGTCTGATATACTATAACTATATTTGATTAAACTTTTCTACCAAGTAAACCCCAATATATTCATATAAAAATCACACTAATTGATAACTACTCCAATAACATTAACAAACAACATAACCAATTTTAATATAAATTCATACATCTGTACCTCATACCGCAATCGTAACATGATATGAAGGGAATATTGCATATATCAAAAACATTATTTTTCTATGCTTAGCAATGACTTGTTTCAACAAATAACATTCTCTTTATTTCTTATCATCACGTTAAAAATCTAATACTGACTTTGGTCAAATAGCTTTGTTATCCTAGTTTAACAAAAAATATCAACAGTCAATATGCTAAACGAAACATGAAAATATGTTATTGCATGTAAATATCAGTTAATATCAAGACAACACGTATAAACAAAAATATAAATTTTGAACACATTTTATATCCCAGTTCACCAAAATTCTAACCAAAAATATGTAAAATATCAATAAATATGTTTTAATAACTACAGGTAACATTGTAGGCACATTATTGATGAGCTTTTAACTAACTAATTGGCAATGTTCCGAATTTTAATGAGCTAATTACACAAACATTCGGAACACTACATTACAAAGGACAAGAGTCCAAAAACATTATCCTAATAAATAAACAACATTAAAATAACTTTGGGTTTGCTACAATGAAAGAAAGGAAGACAAAGGTAAGTGGTCCCATGTACTAAGAAATAATCGAAATAAATTATAAACAAGAACAATAGGATAATATAGCGAAACTAAACATACATACGTCGCGACATGTTATGCTGTCGTCCATTATAAATAAATCTACCCGTGGCGGAAACTACCGTGGTTAATGATGCAGAGACCTGAGTATGCAGGTCAATTTAATAACAACTATTTATTTAATATCATTGCACTAAATTACCAATTTGGAATTATTCCTTACTAGGAATGATAAGGTCGTTAAAACTAAACAAATTCGAGTTAAATAATGGAAATTCCCAAAAATTTGGTTGTAATGACCTTTATGGTCATTAGTGATAAGACAAATTATGTCGTATCACTCAAAATATATTAGTATTTTAACTAGTTTCCATTTTGTCTAATATTTAAAATTACGGCGACCTTGGGTCATATTATTATACCATAATAAACTCTAAAACGAAAACAACAAAATTAACACTAATGCCGTTAGGGAATGTGCATATTACAACTATTTCTTTAGTGTATATTAAAACGTCGTCAACAAAAAAATAATGTAAATATAAATAAAATTATTGCAGTACCGATTTGGTTAGGTATCTACTTTGGTCTAAAGATTTTTAAAATATATTTCTCTTCTTAAACATAACTAAATGGAGGTTTTTTTATTCCGCCTCACTTTGTTGCTAGCGTATATGTACCACTCGTTGTTGTGGTGCTTTCTTATGTGTACGCCTAGGTTGCCCCGCTGCTTGGCCTTGTAGGAGCAGTAGGGACATTGGTGGGATGGGGCCTTGCCGCCACACTCCACGTTTTCGTGGCGGCGCAGGGTGGACTTCCAGCGATACTTCTTACCGCAATGCTTACATTCAAACTGTCGGCTCGCATCGTCCGAGCTGTTGCCGTCTCTCTTCCAGTGTCCTTTCATGTCTGGTTTAGTTTCGAAGCCGTCGTCGCTGTGAATGCCGCCCGAATTGCCAGGGAACCCGCCGTTGCTGTCGTAGAACGTATCAGACTCTTCGGGCAGTACTATGTCATCCGTGTCATCGTACTCCGCGTCAGACTCAGTATCGTCCTGCTTGATGGGCAGCTTATAGTCAATGTTCGGTGTTACAGTATTGTTGTTTTGCATAAAAGCTTGCTGCAAAAGATGCGCTTTAATATTCTCCGGAATAGAATTTAGCGTATCTAATGGCAGCTTGGGTATGTGCAGCGGCGAGGGATAGGGCGCAAGGTCTTTAGTGGCGGAGGGCTTCATGATGTTAGTGACCTGGATGCAGGACGGCACCAGCGACACCAGCGACTGCGACTGCGCCTGCTGTACTGACAGCAGGGACAGCAGAGCCGATGGCAGGTGGCTATCCTTGTGTAACTCTGAAATACAATACATTAACGGTATTGCAAATAATAAGTTAAGCGGAACTACATACATAGTCTTGTTAATTCTACCAAAGGCTAAAATAAAATTAAGGAACCAAAGAAATGCGTTATAATAATAAAAAAAATATAAAAATAATAATTTCTGTTAGAAATTATAAAGGCGAAGCTTCTAAATTCATGCAAAACATGCACAATCCAAATAACAGAATCTGATTTCTTTTAAACTTATCTTCCCATAAAACATTATCGGAATCGACTGGGTGACTATGAACGGATTCTAAATTAAAGCCTGTCTTTTCTAGAATAGTTTAATAGTTCAAAAAATATTGAATATCAATCATTTGTCAATACACAGGTAAACATGACGAATATAAAATTTAACTCCAATATGAACTAAAGGAAGATCAAATAGTTTCATAATAATAAGGCACTAGTGGAGCGGAGCGGGCGACATCACTTGAGACCGAGCGAGGGCTGGTTGGGGTGCTTCTTGTCGATGTGCTTCTTGAGCTCGTTGCGGCGGTGCTTGCTGTAGGGGCAGTAGGGGCACTTGTACTGCGGCTCGCGGCCGCACTCCAGCGTGACGTGGCGCACGAGGTTCTTGCGCGCGTTGTAGCAGCGCTGGCACTTGGGGCAGCGGTAGCCCTTGTCAGTCTTGTACTGCGCGCACTCCAGCCGCGCGCTGGCCGGCGGCAGGATGTTGTACGGCGACGCCTTGCCGCCGCGCTCGCCGCGCTCCGGCGAGCTGTCGGGGGACGCCTTGGGCGACACCTTGGGCGAGGGCTTCGGCGTCGCCGGCTTGAGAGATTTATTTTCCAACTTTTTGTTCTCTTTCGTCTCCTCGGTCGTGCTGACCGGCGGTGGCGGAGGTGACTTTACTGTTTTCAATATCGCTAGTGTTGTGGTTTCATCTACTTTTTTACTACGAGTCACGATACTATGTCGCAGCGTTGAGTTTTGACCTGCAATAAAAAAATGGATTACAGTCCGTTTATAAGTCAATGGCTATTGCACGTAAGCTTATAAGATCCAAGTATGTATTGAAATAAATAAAAACAAAAATAATATCAAAAACGAATGTATTCAAAAAAAGAGGCAATAAATGAACAAATCAACTATATCGAAACAGAATCTGCCTAAAGTATATAACAAGTAACCAAAAATACGATTTACTCAAATAAAAAAATAACAAAAAAAAATTTCACTGATGAAATCAGGGACTAAAGTACAACAAAGTTTAGTCACAACTAAATATTCTTCTTAACAATTCATGTTTTAAGTAAAACTTTTGAAAAGAAAAAACAAATGAGTAAAAAATGAAAACTTATACAAAAAAATAACAAATTTTAATTTTTCTGAGTGGCTTGATGCTCCTTCATCCTATTGGGATGTTTCTGAGCAATATGCGAGATCAACGTTTTTTTCTGTGAATATTTTTTCCCACAAGACTCACAACCAAATTGGGGTCCAGTGACACATTCATACTTCTCATGTCTCAACTTGTTCCTTCTATACTTATACTGTTTCTTCTTGCATATGGAACACACATATAAGCGATCCTTATTATCATTTCTACGAATCCCACCACTGGTTGTGACTCGTTTCTTATTTGACCTTTTTTGTACTGCAGCCACCATCTTTTTTCTGCTAATCTTTCTGACTTTCTTTTTATTACTTTGTTTACACCCATCTTCACTCTTAACTTTGATGTTCTTAAAATACCCACGGGTTAATGGAAAAGGGGTTTTGGCGTAATGAAGGATAAGCGGTTCTGGAAGAGTAAATGAAAAGCGAGAATAATGAGATAAAAGGCATTTGTGTGTTAGTGACAGAGTATAAGAGGGGGTGTAGGTATATTAAAATTTGCAAAAAGAGGAAGCCATAGTAAGAAGATAGCGACAAGTAGTTGATGTTGTGTGTATAAGCAGGTGTTGGTAAATGTACATATTTGGGAGAGTTTACAGCAGAATCGTAAGGTATATAAGCAAGAGGTTTTGTTAGCAATGTCTTGTGGCTGTTAAAAGTAAAATATTACTTCATTGATTTTTGACCCATGTTCATGTCCTGTTGTAGTCTGGTGTCTTGGCTTCAAACAGTTTTATTTAAATTGTAAAATCCTACGAAATAATGGTATAAATATATTGAAAAATGAAATGCGCATCCACTAGGAACTGGTAGCGTCCCACCATGCTTCCGATAATTTTTAACTCTAGTCAACCTAGTGAACATGCATAAAATAAACGAGAACATTTTTTCTATTCGGGTTGAAACATGAATTGCTAAGAAAAAGACGTCTGCAGTGAAATCACATGTGAATGCAAAAAAAAACGAAAATAATAAAAATAATAAATAAATAAGCCACATTACCATCAACTACGTGGACAATATAAATAATTGACATTTACCTTACATCGGGACGCCTGTGTGCTGACCATCCAGTCTTCTACAAACATTAATTTTCCACACTTGTGCTATAAAAATTTATTCCACGATATTTTTACTTAGCGAAGGTGAACCAACTAATTTAAAAGGCCCAATAAAACATGGGCATGTGATGTGACGTGATTATTGAAATTAATTTTACTGTACTTAAGGTTACAACAACTACTTATGTATAATATACTTGACAATAAATACGTAAAAAGTTACTTACCAATAAAATAAACCGTTCCACTCCATTGTTAGACTATTAACGTGTTTATAGAAAATGGTTGCACTAATTGCCAAAGTTAATTGCAACGCGTGCTTTCTACGACAATATTACATTACTGAAGCATGCAATGATCTACATTCACTAAGATCCCATATCACAAACATAAGCGTAACAATTTGTGTAATATTAAAATAAACCTATACTTACCTTTTTTCAAATACCTCACCTTAAAAGGCTACAAATTCATAAAACCTTATTACCAAAATACCGTTACCTGATGCACTGGAATATCTTTTAAGTAACATAACGTAATAGAATATAGAACTGTAATAAGATTAGTAATTTATATTATAATATTAGATACTAAATTAATACTTATAAGATTGGAGTTTCACATGTGAAAACACTAGCACTCATATCCACTGTCGTGAAAATATAATATTTATATATGTATAACATAAATAAATTATTTTAAGCAATGACTGTTTGTCTATATCAAATTATGGGAAGACATTGCGCATTTCATCCGTTCCTTGTATGTCTGGAATAATTATCTTTTATAATTTTACTTATTCAATATAATGGCAAGTACACCAAAGCAATAGTTAATTGTTCCAGACTATCAATCGAATCCCATGAGACATGTCGCGTTGATTTTCCAAAGGTACACAGTAATACATCGAAAGCAGTGCCAACGCAACATGTTGCCTGAGGACGCGCCGCGTGGCCACGGCCGGGGGCTTACCTTGCGACTCTCGTGCGCTGTCACTCGAGTTCATCAGGTCATCTTGAGATCGTTCCATATGCCATTGGAAATCTGAAAAGCACATGTATTGGTTACTACAATGTTTGAAATTACACTAACAAATGACTCAAAAATTAACATATGTTTACATATTACTTTGTAAGTAATAATAAAATAGAACATCAACTAATAAGTATAACAAATAACCTCTACACTTTACCTCTAACCAATTATAATTTAAATCAAAAATTAAAATCATCTTTAAATACGGTTGTTTCCAACTAGTCAAATTCAATACTTTTATCCAAATGTCAAAAACGATACGTTTCTATGAAAATTGTATGAAAAATTTAATTATGACGTCATAGCATTTTGGCGTGAAATAGCTTACTTATTTTAAAAAAAATAGCTAAAAAATATTTAAAAATTAGTGTATCGATCGATCGATGATTAAAGTATAGTTATTTTTAAATATTTTATCATATTAAAACGTGGAATTAATTTATTTTTGACCTAGGAAACTACCCAATTCTGCAATACATAATATGGAGAAGCACATGAATAGAATCATAATTGACCAAAATAAAATAAGTTTGGGAGATATGTTGTGTTTTTGTAAGTGAGTTTACTGAAGGCCCAATTCTCAAATCCCTAATAACCTACATGAGGCTAAAAATATTGTGACACTTACTGCGTACAACGTCGTTGTGTGCCACGGCGGGCTGGTCGTCAGTCTCCTCGTCTAGTGTGAGGTCCTCGACGCCGTCCCGCTGCAATTCTTCCTTGCAAGGTGCGGTGTCCTCTCCATTTCCCTGGGCGTTGTCGTTGGGTGGCGGGATAGGTACGGGTGGAATTTCACTGGACATGCGACGCGCTTTCTTCCGACGTCGTGTTGGACTTACTGATCCTTCACGGCTATCTATACTACCATCTCGGACCTAATGATAACAAAATCTTTTCATTATTATACTGATTTATGGGTGTATAACAAATTGATATAGAATGTTTCTGCTATTTTCTCACCACCAGTCAAAATGAACATGTTTTTATCAATGACAGTTACAATTTAATAACTCCTTTTCCTTGTGATAGTCACACCATTAAGTATGTTTGATGATCAATGTTCTCGGATGTCAGTTTTATTTAAATTACATTTAATTGTTACGATAAGAAAATAAGTAACATAAGTAGCAGTAAGTAGTATCTACAATTAATCTGTAAGTGTGAAGGAATCATGATGAACACAATTCTTTTATATACATATAAACAATGTGAAAACCACTGCTTATGTGTTTAACAGATATGACTTTATCTATTGTAGATGAATTGCACATTAAAACATCTGCCAACACACATGGCAGTGCCAAGGCTTCCCATTCTAACATTACTATTACTCGTACTTGTTAGTTCCCTTCCATGTGTGTGCAATAAAATATTTTGTCAACATTCCAAACATATCTGTTTGGCTTGAAATTGTGTAACCATAATATAGTATTTTAATTAAATAAGTAGATATACTTGAATGAGAAGACAAACAGGACAAACCTGTGGCGGAGGTGAAGGTGCACGCGGCGGGTGTGCAGGTACAGCCTGCGCAGGGCGCGACGGTGGCCTCGAGGGCTTGTTGTCAGAGAGCCCTTTGATCTGAAGGGACTCTGCAGCTTTCAGCAGTGCGGCCAACTGATCTTGAGATATGTTGACTTCACCGCGATACATATAATCCATCATTGCTCTCAACTCAGCATATTTGACATCTTTGAGGATAATTATTGGATGCTTATCATACTGCTGTGATAATACACTCTGAAACAAAATCATCCAACCATTGTTCACTTTGTTTACTTTTACTTGTGATTATGTTTGTAAATATTCTACTGAAAGTCAGTATCAAATGATAATTCATTGTTAGTTATTGTATTGTTAACAAAAGTCATTAAATGTAATAAGTTAATGCACCTCAATACTATGCATGTCATTAAGTTAACAAAAGTTAATGGTATGATGTTAGGTAATGTGAATAGTTGCAAGCATTAGGAAAAAGTAGTAGAGGCAACTTTCGGTTGCCAACTCATCTATCCACCTATGTGCACTACATAATTGTTAAAACATGAAAGCTAGACTGGTACAAGTGGTATGTTTATTAGAGCAAAACTGAGTTGCCTTGCAAGTTACTTATACACGATTGTAGTTGACCTACATTGTGGAGACTTTACGTACCTCGAAATAGGGACTGCATGCTGATAGGACTACTTTGTGCGCCTTGAGCGTCTGTCCTTCAGCAGCTAGGGTGCAGTCCACGTGCATTCCCTTCTCCAGAAGAGTGTCAAAAACAGACACCAGTGTAGACTGATGGTTGTTCCACCGCAGGCAGAACTGTTGGTCGTCGTCCATGATGCCGTCTAGCCACTCGCCGCGCCCTCAGCCCTACAAATTTACAAATCACAGCAACGTCTAAACAAGGTCTAATAACACACGCAATAACTAGGCCATTAGGAAAACTTCACTAAGACTACACAAACATCGGATTCTGAATGATTATCACTGTACAACGTTAATTATCTCACCGAATCACTTCATACGATGAGATCACGCCCCAACTTAACTAAATTAACTTTACGGACCACATACGAGTCGTCGTAAGCGACGCGGCACAAAGAAAATGGCCGCTTTTCCAGCGCGACAAAAAATAAAATGGCGACGAAAATTCTAAGTTTACTATTTTCTGAGAGAACATTTCAGGACACACATAAACGAATCACTTTAATCACGTTGCTAAGGTAAGATAATAATCAAAGAAATTTAAAGTCGACAAAGAAACTTTAGAGAACTTTACTTTGAAAGTTCACAGAGTGGAAATTTTCAAGATGAAAAGTCCTAGGTAATAAGTAAGCCCTTATCGGAGCCGTAACGCTATACTAAGATATTACAATGCTTACCTTGACTATTGCATTAACTGATTAAACGTATTTTAACACTTTCAATTATATTAAAATATCTTTCCACTTTATTTTTAACACATTTGCACACCCGCCAGCTTTCGTGAATGAAATTGAAAACACTAAACTAAAACTATGCTATGTTGCAAGTTTAGAGAAAGGCACCTCTACAAAAATCCAAACGAAGTACAAGTTGGAAGCGACGCGAATGACCCAAAATAAGCTCTATAATGTTGCCATAAGCAAATAATTGGAAAGCTTGAAAAAATAAGAAATGCGCACATAATAACTCAAAAAATAAGTTATAGTTTTTAGTACCTAAATATTAATAATTTAATTTCGTTTTATTTTTGTCTCGGCTGTTATTCCATAATAAACCATTGGCAGTTTGAATTTAGAACACCTTGTCCTTGACCTACTTTTGACGACGTACATCTCGTGATCCCAAAGTTGTTTCAATTAAACAAAAGAATCTTATATTATTTAAAAACTGTTTAGGAAAATCAATCAGATATTGTTTTTAATTTAAAATAAGTTTCTATGAAATAATATAACGATGAATAGAATAAGAATTGGAAATAGCGCCATCTGTAGGTTACTTTTAAACATTAGCCAACATGCATATTGTCACTGTTAAAGTCAGTACAATTTATTTGATTATTTTGACCAACTGACTTAATTTTCACGTTTAGTTTGTTATTAAAGATAACTAAATTTTGGTTATATTGTTATTTCATTTCTACGGACTGAAATACGCCTCTCGTTCTTTCTCAATGTTAATAGGTACCTTCTTACTCGTTTATAGGCTTGCGGCATAGAATATCCGGCTATTCCGGCTTAGGTGAAGGTTGTGAACAAGCAGGTACTTATTTTACTGCAAAAATACCTAGTAGGTAAGTATATAGACTTCTAGACAACAGCTGGTCCTCGAGCTTGTTTACAATGCATCAGCCACTTATTGCGGAGCAACAAAAGTGTTGAAAATGTCACGGTGTTAAGAAGCTCATGGGCTCATGGCGATCGCTCCTCAAGCATGAGGGCACGGTAATATTATATGGTATGAGGGTATCCGGGTTTATAGCATGGCAAGTACAAAACTTCACTGTTATTTATTTGTGTAAAAATCGCAAAGAACCTAGATGGCGAAATCACCTATCCACTTTGAGGAGCATGGTCATTGTTGTCTTTTTAGCTCTCATTCCGTTTCCATATCTCATAGGCATTTTCTCAACAGTGGAATAAACAGGCCGATGATGATGAAAAACATTTTATGTTCCTTACACTCACTACTATCACCCGAAGCTGTCGGAAACGTGTCGAAGTTAGGATTTATTCTAGTCTATAAAGAATAAAGTTTCTTTGTAAATTTATTCACGACATACGAGCAAATCCTGGTAGTATGGGGTTAAGTTTCCGATAGAAAGTATACCTAGATACCTACCACAGATACCTACATACAAATTCTAGATATGAATAAACCTATTTGATGGCTGTAGTAGATTGCGACCTTCGAGCGGAACACAATGGGTCCAACAAAGTCACAGTAATCTACCAATTGACGAGCAAGTGTCTGCAACCGCTACGTCAACGTGCTCAATAAACTACTCTTAGTACATTACTACATTGTGAATTTTTATTTTGTATGTGTACTACTAACACTTATGTATAGCTCTGTGCAATGCTTACCCACAGATTAAATAGATTGTATTATGGACACCCGTTCATAGTTTACAATGTTTATTGTTTATGTCTATTTCTTACGGAGTTAAAATGTTAGACATAGCTTGACATCACGATTTATTACATTATAAACAGGGAAGGGACGCATTGGTTTATGTAAGTAGGCAAGTATAGATTTCTTATATGAGAATACAAAAAAACTACCGACCAAATATTTTTTTCTGACATCATCCCTCTCGGATATGTATTATTTTTTCGTCACCATCTATAGCATCAGCTCTTGAGGGTCCACCCCTTTGCTAACATCACTGCTTCGCAGAAAGAGGAGACGGCTTCCCAGTTCCTCTCGCTGCGAACCATGGCCTCGACTAAGGCCGGGATCATCTATAAGATTGAAACAATGAAACAACGAACTTATTTTTCCAAATGGGCCATAAAACGGCACCTTTGAACTTTAAAAATATAATACATATATTATGTAAAAAAAACTAGTTGAAGCTGGATGATTGCTAGACGGTAACAATAGCCTAGTCTATAGTTATGATAGAGGACATCAAACGAGTAAATAGGTAACCTGATGGTAAGCAATCAGCGCCGAATATAAACACTAGCAAAAACAAGAATTTGTGATGACCTTTTGTATATGCGATCTCCATTCTGTCTGCCAATCGTAGAAATTATAGTACCTACTAAAGGCAAAGCCCAACCCCCACTCCTCAATTCAAGCCGGAATTTTGGCCCAAAATTCTGACAATGCGCTCAACCATTGGCAGTGTCTGTGGCTAACCATTACGACATCGTGTTTTGCCGAATTTTAGCATAAAAAAGGGTTTAAGTATTTAGAGGAAACAGAATGTTGTTATGAAGCGGCCTACTAGCGGCCCGCCTCCGCTTCGCACGGGTCCAACTTTCTAACTATCAAAGGGTCACTTTTTCCCAATTTTCCCCTTTAATTTTCTAACAATACCAATTATTTTCTTTGATAAGAACCTTCTGACAATACCAAACAGAAAAAAAAAGAATTAGCAAAATTAGTCCAGGCGTTGTTGAGTTATGCGCTTACCGACACATTTTGCGATCCATTTTTATAAATATAGATTAGTTAAACCCCTCTGGTGTTGCGGATGTCCATGGACGGCGCCGATCGCTTACCATCATGTGATCCGTCTGCTCGTTTGCCTCCTATTCCATAAAAAAGGACTATGTTCAATCAAAGTAGATGATGTTTGTAGAAGGATGAAAAAGACACGTAGGAATAAATTGTTCTCGGCATGCTCCATGCACAGGACATGCAGAGGTAATGCGGGGGCTTGATAGAATCTAGGAAGAGATGAAAGAGCTAAGTTATCAATTGATCACACGTTACTGTTGTGTTGGGTGGCCTCGAACGCAAGATTTTTATCCTGACTTAAGTCTGGATAAAAATGTGCATCATGACCATGATCAACTAATAAAGATTAATTAGTGATGCCATTTTCACAAATCCCTAGGTAGATATTCTGATGTGAAGTATCTCACATGGTTATGTGAATGCCCACGGGTATCGATAATACATATTATGACGGTGGGGCAAGATTGGAAACGGAATTGTGCAACTATCAAGTTTGGTTTTTAGGTAAGTTCCTAGAGGTGGATTTCCTGATTCTCGTGACTCGGGACTCAAATAAGATTAAGCCGGATTTTATCGCTTGCATTTCTAATGTTATCGAAATAAATCGACTCAGTTGAAAATTCTCACTTATGATTGTTCAAGTAGCTGCATATCTACTATTAATTACAATGGACAAAACAGTTGAATCACGAATACACAGTACATAAAACTGTATAAAATATATCAACATGCAGCTGAGGAAGTGAGTACTGCTGATACTTTTCCTTGTTTTAAAGACACAGCCTGCTCCCGTCCCCCGCCGGCTTTGTCGCTTCGTTATAAAAATCAATAGCATTAGTAAGTTCGTACAAACGAATTATACGATTCTCTTTGTGTGCGTTGCCAGGCTCTCGGTGTGCGGGAAACAAAAAAAAACCACGAGCGAAATTCTTGTAATAAAAATCAATCGGAGCGGAGAGAGAAGGCGCCGCGCGGGGCGCCGACTGGTCGGGCGTCCGGACCACCCCCTACCGCCTCCCTGCATACCTACACGCGCTATAATGCACCTACCCTCCCCGCCGACTTGTCGCACATTTATACATGCTGTACAGTTCAACGATAGGGACATCAAACGAGCTTTCCATTTGAAGATGGAAACTATTTTTGAAGTAGTTTTTAAAGTTTAGACAGCCTCTTGCATCTAAACATTGAACTGAGTCTGTCTAGCGTGTGGGCCACCTTCCCGTCGCTCGTAGCTAGGCGGCGAGAGAGGGAGCAGCGCTACAGAGCGGTGCGCGGCCGGTTCCCGGCAAAAAGGCGTTTGTTTTTATTTCTTTGGCGCGGAAAAAAATCAGCACGCGCCCGCCCTGCACCTCCTAAACATGCGCCACGCAGCGACGCAGACTCGGCCGGGTGTGTGCCGAATTCACTTTCATTTGCGACATCTCATCGTTTCCCGAAGGTCACCGTGCAGTCGCGGGTGTCGTCACAGGTCCGCGGTGCATGTGTGGCGCGGGCGAGTGCTTGCGGCGGCCACCGCTGACCGACTAGGTGAGTCGAGTGAATTTCGCGCCCTCGTCTTCGGCAATTCCGTTTCCCTCGCGTTTATCGGCACCCGTTTTGCACCGTCCTTCGCCGTGTGCCGGGAAGACGATGAAAGTGAATGTGTTTTCGTATCTCGCGGTGTGTCGGGGTCGCGCAGACGTGCGCTGTGGCCGTCCGCTCCTCGAATGGAACGATGTGAAGCGACGAGAGAGGGTTAACCGCGCAACTTTACATTCACTACTTTCCTCCACCTCTGACAGGTGACAGCGTACAAATATACACGCTAACATCAACATCTTAAAGTCGCTTATCCTAAAAACTTATAAGTTTTGTTATACGTGTAAAGTTTTGAATCGGTTACGCGCGTTTATTTCATTTGAAAGTTTCCACGTCGAACTTCGTATACGGCCGCGACATGCATAAGGGCTTTAAACAAACAAAATTAAAAAAGCTCGTGAGACAGTCTGGCTTGCGAGCGGGAAAGAGAGAGCCAAGCTTTGCACTCTTCATTTGTGCACCAATCGAGAAAAAATTCAATAAAGCTCGCTTCCTTTTGTCTAATTGCCTATGTAAACCTACTTATAACATGGCGATTGTTCGATTTCTGCGACATTGCGGAGAGAACATGGGGTGCCCCGTTGTTGTTTACTCTCGCAGGATACATTTAGCGCGCTTTTGTTGTTGTCAAAAATATAACTGTGACTTTGATATAACTTTTGGAAAAGTTAATAAGAAATTAAGTAGAAAATATATTTAACATTGCCGTTAATAACTGTGGAACATGTAAATGGTCGTTTTCATTCAATTTCTTACTAATTTGCTTCGCTAGGAAATGCCCGGCCACGGAGTGTCTCAGGTGAAATGCGAGCCACTCTCGGACGAAGAAGACGGCGACTCACAATTTGCGCACAGTTATCTATCCAGTCAGGTAACTTTAATTAGCATTTTATTATTTAGTTTAGATTTTCGCGAACGTGGAATTATTTATAGGCATCCGCACTTTGCACATTTTGATTATTGCGGCCTGGGATTTAAAACTTTGTATCTACTTACCTACTTATTGAACGAAGCTAAATTTTTCAAGTATTCCCCGGCGCACTATTGCGAGTGTGTGTGTTAGACTAGCTAATTTTATAGATTTGTTAATGTTTTCGATTTCTTCATTATTATTCGATATTGTGTATCCACCGAACAAATATGAACAGCCGCTTCCCAATTGATTGCTCTAAATTTTAATTAACGATGATGATGACGACGTTTGTACCCTATTTGGGGTATTTTCTGTTTTTGTAATTCACATCAAATATGTCTAACATTAAGGTCATTCAACGCTGAAACGCAGCACGCGTAACCACAACTCGTAAAAGAGTTTTTCAACCGCTAATCAAATTATAAAAACTTGTTCCATTTTGCCTACTTTGTGGAGATTGTAGCAGCGTACATACATTATGTGGAAAAAGTTTTGTACTCTCTCAATATGTAATAGAAAGTTACTTTTGATGCTAGCACGCACACGACTAGATAAATTGGCGCAGAAAAGTGCTAAAAGATGAACTATAGTAAGCTTGTTATGATAAGAAATTCTTAAAAGTTGACCTATAGAAAGGTATTTACTTTCATACTGGTGTATCGGCAAAAGTTCGCGTCGAGTGTGTCTGTCAGAGATTTTACTTTTACGCTGTTTTTGCGCAAAATTAGATAAAGTTTGAGTTTTGACTCGTGGTTCTAACCTTATTTCTGTTGATTTATTTATAACCAGTCTCAATATGCCATCTCTTTATAGGTAAAGGGCTACGAAGTAAAGAATTTTGACACTCTTTTTACTATGGATGGAGTTTCATAAGTTACACATCTGTTTGTAATGACCAATGTGCCGAGATTGGCCATTAGTCACGTGTCCATATGTAATACGGAATGGATGCGATGCGACAGATTGATTGTTTCTGCCTCAAGACGTTGTAGTATGCGCACGTAATGTTTTATTTCCCTCCAGTTAGCTTCGAGAGTCCCTCGCGTGTCGGAACACGACACAACGACTCATTGACAACATTGTTTAACTGCTTGATGCTCAATTTGAGAAATAATTGCTTCCGTCTTGCAATGTTAGCGTAAGCTACAGTTTAAAATAATGTAGGATCATTTTAAAATAGTATTATTTTATCTTTTTTTTAGTCATTGCGGATTTAAGGAATAGTATAAAACGTAAAGTAAAAAGTTTTAGCGAGGTCTCGCGATACATGATGTAAAAATGGTTATTGGTGTCTTGAATGTCTTATCAAGTTATTTCACTTTTTTCACATAACTCTAACGGGCTCCTCGATGAGAAGCGGTCGCCGCAACTTATGTTTACTTTCGACGTGAGGTGCGCAAAATGTTGCTTAGCGTGCCATGAAAGCGCTTTACAATGGATTGCCATCCTTGGTTTTTCTTAGAGTCACTGATTCATCATTTACATCATTAACTAATTACCACGTTTTGAACCAGGCCAGTGGTTTAGAGGAGCTGGCACCCCTGGCGCCCGCAGGTCCGGCTGCTACACCAGTTTGTGTGAAACAAGAACGAGCAGAGACGCCACCGGCCACAACACTAGAGACGCTCGAGTCGGCTCCGCACAATGCCAAGGTATTTCAAATTCGAATTAAAATAAAACAATTTCTACAACATTGCAGTAACAAAATAATTTAATGAATTAGAAACTTTTTAAAACAAGCATTCACAAGGACCAACCAACCCACCTTATAAAATGCTTGTTTAATGTCTTTTCTGTGTCACGCAATCTGAACTTGAAAATATCAAATAATAAATTATATTCAAAATATCAAAATTAATATTGAAAATATCGAACTGGTTTATATAAAATATCGAATTATCAACTTAATGAATTTGGTTGCGGGGTAAGCGCAATGAGGCACCACGACCTCGGTCTAGAGCACGAGAAGGAACAGGGGGGTTTTTAGTCAGTAAGCTGTAAGAGTCTGACACTCCCTCCCGTCCGGCCCTGTGCGGGAGAAGTCATTTGATGATTTTCCCCTCACAAAAAAAAACTTAATGAATTTACACTTTGGAGATAGCTTCACTGACAGACTGACTGATACACTAAAATAATATGACCTATTATGACGTTTCAAAAGTACCTGTTTAGGGTTTAGTCGGAATAAATGATTTTGACTTTGAAATTAACAACTTAATCGTTTGAAGGTATGTGATTAGAAATTAAGGTAGTTGCTAGATTCCACTTCAAAAACGTATATACCTACCTATACATACATACAATGCAAGTTTAATAAGAGCTTGTAAAAACTAATTAATTGACAAGCAAATTAAATATCTACTCTTTGTTGAAGACTTCGCTTGTGTACAGCACGAACTACTTTTAATATAATTTACGCAGACGAGGGTCTTATTTTATAAAATAAAATAGGCGTTAACGTTGCCGGCATAAAACATTTTTGTTATACAATTTGAATATTAATGAGCGTGTAACGGAAGCTGCTTAATTAATCTTAAGTTTTAGATAATTCAGACACCGTTAAATCTACTAGGTACCTTGACGGCTATTTAGTTTTTCTCTCTTCATTTATTATTAGCAACATGGAGTATATTCGGTCCCACGGTATCTGGGAGCACAAGCGTGATTCTGCCAATATGAAAAGGGCGAAGTCCAAAGACACTACCAACATTTTCTTCAACGTTTTTTGTGCTTTGTTGCATTTCTGAAGTTTCTTAACTTGAATTTAGATTCATCGTAACATAAATAATGTGTGACAACAACCATAGCTATAGTTGCACAGAGTACGCGCTACGAGCGTGGTTCGTATCGCGTTGTTTGCAGTATGTAGCAGCGTTTTCCTGCTATTGCTGTCGTAGGCATGCTAACCATAAAGCTTGAATGTGTGGTGCGCAGTCTGTAGCGAGTTGCAAGGTTGTACGCCTACCAGAATAATAGCGGGAACGCTGTTACCCGCTACGAACTATCTGCTACGCGCTACGAACTACGAGCTGTATCTCTTATTTTACCGTAATTGTGAAAATAATGTAAGTGTATACGTAATGGTACACATGAGGACCACTTGGTCGCGTTATTTTGGATCTTAAAAGTCAAAAATCAAAGAACATTTATTTTAAACAAACCATACACAGGTACGAACGTACTAATACTACCAATAACGTAATGATGAACCATCCGAGATAGCATTAACTTTTCAAACACTTTGCTAAGAATCTAGAGGCTTACAGTTATCTGGTTCTTTAGTGTTACCACTCTTGAATAGGGGGATAATTTTACAGGTCTCGAACCTGTAGTAGGTAGTCTAATAAATGTTTTTATTTCATTGAACCAGACGTAACTAAAATATTACAGGACCTTTGACAACTATTCCTTTAATAACTAAGTATATCATATACGTTTGCTTGAGCAGAGCACATCACTCCTGGATCGGCAAATGGACTTTATGAACGTGCACGAGGTGCCTGACTCCACAGACTTCATGCCGCTGCTGGCCATCAAGGACGAACCCTCGTCTGAAGGTGGTATGTATTATACAGACATGAGTACTTTCAGAAAAGTCATAAGATATATTGGCACAAGTAAGGTAAGTATGGAACTCTGTTGTTGCGGAAGGTCGTGGCGCCGATTGCTTACCGTCATGTGACCAGTCTGCTCGTTTGCCACCGTATTACATAAAAAAGTTATGGACCATTAGTGTATAATTAGCTGACTAATGGATACAAAAGTCATGGCTTGAAAACTATTCACAAAATAACTCTGCTTGAAAGGCAGACCAGAAAGTATTCATCACCTCTTGTCGTAACCTACCACAATAATTGGACATTTGACCGATATAAAAATACAATATGCATAAAGGATACCTACTACTACTACCTAAATATTATTGTTTAAAGGGAAAAAGTACATTTAGTTAAATTTTTATAAAAAAATAAGTTAAGTAAGTACATTATTTTAATTTTAACAAATTTTAAAGCTCGGGTTAAGGATGTCGAATACAAAGTCAAGCTAACGTGATCATAACATAATTGTATATAATATGGGCCTTCAAAACCTAAAATAAACGGATAAATATGAATATAAATAATAACAACTAGATTAGTCATATAATGGTTACGTTGCTATCCTACGCGTCATGTGGGGTAAATTGTCAACGCCACTGCCATCTAGCGCTTAAGGGCGAAATTAAATCATGATCATTGGGTAAAACACAACACGTTTGAATAGCTAATTCTTTCACACTTCTATAGCAGAGCTGAATGTCGCATCAAAATCATAGTCTGGTCGCAAAAGCGAGCTGAAATAAAACGACCAATAAACAAATACATCAGACATCATTATAAATATCTTTTACGACTTGGGTTAAAGTCAATTCAAGTTCATTGTACATTCTATATGGATAATTAGGTAGGTATGTGGATAGGATTCTACCAACTATTTAATGTTAGGTAGTTATGGGTCGTTTACTACCGTCTCACAACACCAGCTGGCTTCTTGTTTACGCACGCCATTTTAGAATGGTTGGAAAGATTCGAAACTGATTTATTTTAATTACTCTTCGCTTCAAGTGTAAAAGTTGGAGAGTGCATTTAGAACCGGTTTGTACCGTCGTGGGAGATATTAACAACCCTGCAATAAGTACTTAGGTACAATAGACTTGAGCACCAAATTACTCTAGAATTTCTCACAGCCACGATTAGTTTATTAAAAATTATAATTCCTTACTAGAGTTGAATGTCGATTGTTATAGATAATCGCTTATTGAAACTTGCTGTTTTAATGGATTTATTCTCTAGATATAGGTATGAAAATCGATCGATTGGAATATGTAGCAGTAGGTTTGTAATTAATAACATATATAATAGAACATTTCAATGGCAAAGAAAGTTTTAAAAAGAAGTAAAAGTCGCAATAGTCTATCAGTTTTTATCTCATACGGTCGCAAAGCAGGAGGTATGCGGATTACCTGATGGTAAGCAATCGGCTTCACCCAATTTCAACGGCAATACCAGATGGTTTGCAGATACGTTTCCAGCCTTTTGCGAATATCTAAGGTATTTTAGGAATTTAGGCTTCTTCTGGTTTTTGTTCCTCGTCGCATTTTGAAGCGTACTCGGCTTTTCTCATTACTATGATATTATCACAGAACAACATCATCTGAGCGGTGATGACACCAGCGACTCGTGTGGTCGCCAGGCCTCGCCCGCGCCGCGTCACAGCCCCAAGAGCTGGACGCAGCATGACATGGAGCGGGCACTAGATGCACTTAGAAACCATCAAATGAGCCTCACAAAGGTAAGAGCTCAAAATAACAATGTAGAAGAAAGGGTGGCAATAATTTGAAAAACGAGAGCAGAGAGACTTTTAGCTAGACTTCAGTTTGATGAAACTACTCAAACATTCTACTCAGGTATAATAGAATGTTTGAATAGTTGTTCTTAGATTACCCATATACATAGGTATTTCGCTACATATTTCAACATATAATATTTGTAATTCTATTAAGCCTAAAACGCAGTGAAGCAAATACAACATTCTTAATGTAATTTCCCTGACTTAAAAGAATTTAGGTACAGATAAATTCTTGTCTTACAAAAATTAAGTAAGAGTACAATAATCCTTTTATTGTACTCCGGAATAAATGTCTGTTACTACTAACTGTACTAATGGTTAATTTTATTAGATAAAGCCGGCAACTGTAGTCACGGTTGACGAGCCACAGATTACACGCGTGACGGATACAAGTAACCTTCAGTAAGAACAGTTTGTTTGATGACCACACTACCACTGTATTAAGTAGCTACTTACAGTTTGTATGACACGTTATTACAGGCAACTAAGCTGCGTAATTAATTTCGAGGACATACGTTTAGTTATTCCACGGAATAGAAAATACAGAGTTATCCCATTATTTTAGTATTATTTGTTGTTTACAAAGGCCCGTTCATACTTACTATCAAATTAGGTGTCGCGAAAACTGTATAACGTATTTTTGGTTAATTAGGATCAGACGAAAATATATAATTTCATCCTACGATTTACTTATGTAAAATTTTTCACAATATTTACAAGAATAAATGAGAGCATGAACAAGTTTTAATCTTATCGACCTCCACGTAACGTTCTTTATTAGAATTAAAAATGAGTTGAAATTAAAAGACGATTAGTACTTAGTATTTCTTTTTATTATTCTTTACATCAGGCATCAGCAACATACGGTATTCCATCGACAACGTTATGGCAGCGTGCCCACCGGTTGGGCATAGACACGCCGAAGAAGGAGGGTGCTGCAAAGTCCTGGAGCGAGGCAGACTTGAGGGGGGCACTGCATGCCTTGAGAGCGGGAGCCATCTCCGCTAATAAGGCCAGCAAAGCATATGGTATGATATTTTATAGTAAATAACATTAATGGTTTTTATCAAGTTCTGCTTATAGCTTTTTTCATTTATGCCACAACTGAACATAGGCCCCTAATTATTTCCAGGTGCAACTTATAAATGTAAGTTTGTAGTTTACCATTGGTTTTTTTGTGAGGGAAAAATCATCTATCATCAGACTTCTCCCGCCTAGGGTCGGGCGGGAGGGAGTGTCAGACTCTTACTGACTTAAAACCCCTCTGTTCCTTCTCCTGCTCTGGGCCGAGGTCGCGGTGCCTCATTGCGCTTACCCCGCAACCCTAGCTGAACATCAGTCCTATAGGGCCCCGTCTGTAGTGGTCTATTGGCTCGTTGAGGCCGTGGAACGCTACGCCTACTGCGGTGGCTGGGGCATGAGGAGGAGGATTGCTCCCTCACGCGGTCCGCCTCCCTCTTTGCGAGCGTAACTGCTTCGCAAAAGGAAGAGACGGCGTCTCAGTTCCTCTCACTCCGCACCATGGCCTCGGCCGATAACTTCTATGAGGACACGGCGGTGCTTAGCCCAGGCAGGGCATACCGCCACCGTATCCTCTAGGTGGTCCTCACAATGACGACACTGCGTTTCCTCCCGCTGACACTGAAACAGGAACCTACCGAAGCTGCCGTGCCCGGTAAGCACCTACGTAACGCGGAAGGTGAGGACGCCGTGGCGTCTCTCAAGTCACACCTTAAAGAGGGGTCTTACCTCTGCTATAATAGTGTGCCCGAGCTTACCATTGGTGATTATGTTACATTCTTGGGTGGATTTTTTTATGTGATATGTCGGCAAACGAGCAAATGGATTACCTGATGGTAAGCAATTAGCGCCGCCCGTGGACACTTGCAACGATGGAGAAGTAGCGAGTGTGTTGCTGACCTTTTGGGGATTAGGGATATGGAGATTTTGGCATGGTGAAGGATTGGACTTTCGGCAATCTCACTCACATGGCGAAAGACAACGCTGTGATTGTTTTACGTCGGTTTCTATGACGTTGTGGTATCACTCCGTTGGGCTGAAGCATAGCTCTTCCACACTTTTGATTTGTTATTATATTCTTTTTCGATTTCATGATAGCTGTCAGTTTGTAGTATAAGTGGAAAAGTTCTTGAGGTCAGTTGACCAACAGCTATTGAGCTAGTTGCGTAGTTGTAATGTAGCAGTATTGTGATTAGCCTGTAGCAGTCATCTTTGAAATTACTGGTTTTATCCGTACCAAAAGTTTTTTCGTAATCTTTGGTTATAAGTTTGGAAATGTGATTTGGCGTGCAGGTATCCCGAGCAGTACCCTGTACAAGATAGCGCGGCGCGAGGGCATCCGGCTGTCGGCTCCGTTCAACGCGGCGCCGACGTCGTGGCGGCGCGCCGACCTGCAGCTGGCGCTGGCCTCCATCCGCTGCGGCGCCGTCTCCGTGCAGCGCGCCGCCACCACATACGGGATACCCACCGGTACACACACATCCCCTGATGGGAAACTAAGTTCTATTTCATTATGTACACTAAAACGGGCTTTTGAAGTCAAATTACATATTTGCGTTGTAGGTTTGCATAGAAAAATAATGGATGATTTGTATTTAAAGTTTAAATTAAGGTTCAGAAATCACTGCGATAATTTTGGAAAATTCTTTAAACTTTGAATAGTTTGGGTTTCAATAATGCATTAACATTTATACTCCATTCGTCCGTTTTTAGGGACATTATATGGTCGTTGTAAGCGAGAAGGTATCGAGTTGTCTCGCTCAAACCCCACACCTTGGTCAGAAGACGCCATGGGCGAAGCATTGGAAGCAGTCAGGTAACTACAAGATTTATGAAATAGTAGTAATTAAATAATTTCTCCAGGCCTCGTCATGAAGAGAGGAACTGGGAAGCCGTCACCTCTTTCTATGAAGCAGTTATGCTCGCAAAGAAAGTGACGGACCGCGTGAGGGAGCTATCCTCCTCCCCACGCCACCGCCGCCGCAACAGGTGACACTTCGGGCGTCGGGGATCGAGAGATGATCTTTGTGCACCGTAAGCACGGGCCTGCGGTCGGCGAGTAAGGGCAGCTCGCCGCCCGACCAGAACCAGGCCCGAGCGTACGGCGCGTAGCGTTCCGCGCGCGCCTCAAAGAGCCATAGACCACCACAGACGGGGCCCTACAGGGGTTACGGGCAAGCGCAATGAGTGCGGCCGCAGCCAAGAGCAGGAGAATGAACGGGCGTTGTTAGTCAGTAAGAGTCTGACACTCCCTTCTGCCCGACCCTGGGCGGGAGATGTCATTGGATGATTTTCCTCTCACAAAAAAGGCCATGTCATCAAACTGCAACCAGTTATAGAGAGACTGAATAACATCCCCAAAATATTCGGCAACCAAACTACAGTTCTCAAGTCGTTTAAAAAATACTTACCTAGCTAGTAATTTAAAGCTATCGAGGCAATTATGCAATTGAAGTCCTTCCCAATGACGATGGTAAGTTATTCTGGCAAGAGGTTCACCTCGGCTAATGTGTTTTTTACGAATGATTGCACAGAGTGGGCCAGATGTCGATCAACCAAGCAGCCATCCACTTCAACCTGCCGTACTCCTCATTGTACGGGAGGTTCAAGAGGTGCAAGTACCAAATGCAGGTACGTGGAACATGCACTCGTATATAATATACCTATAGGTATACCTACTCGTACCGCTGACATTATTAATTTCATCCTTTTAACAAAGTGTTGAGAAACTTCGAAACAATTGAGCTGCCAATACCTAAGACTTCAGTTTTCATATTCTTCAAACATACGAATATATCAATTTGATTACTTTACGAATTGATTATAAATGGTTATATACCTCTCAGCACAAAATGAAATATGTTTCAGAAAGATTTGTTGAAGTTATTTAAGACACTCTTGGAAAAGGTTCTTTTCAAAAAGATCATCTTATAAGTTTGTATTTATTCCAGGGCGTCCCACAAACTCCGCAACAACAACAACAAGATCTTCGCAAACTGGAACAAGAACAACCAATGGAGGTTCCCCCGTACTATCAACAGATGGCGCCACACCACGAACAGGACACGCATGCATACACACACGTGCACGAATACACGCACACACACGACCAGTACGGACAGTACTACCAAAGTTTTAACAGTATTGCGACCAGCTGAGAGTATACTTCTAATAATGATGAAGTTTAAAAATGGTGAACACTTTGCCAAGTACAGATGCAGGCAGGTCAATATATTCAAAATTTTCAATTCATTTTGCACTTGTCTTGTAAAGTTCAAAATGGATAGAAAAAATAAAAATTACGGATTGGAGTAGATTGCCCTGTTGTCCTGCGGTCTGTTACGTCCGCCCAATGACCTATGGTAATAGCTAGGTGTTCATTCTTGTCCATCTATATATTATGAATACTTACTTAATTCTTGTCAACCAGTCCGCCTTTTGAAAGCGTGAGTGTTAAATGTAAGATACTGAACAATGTCAGCATAATATGTATTTAATTCTTAGATGTCGTTATCTCGATTTTAAACTCTTAGAAATCTGATACTAAATTTGCAAAAATATTTGTTAAATTTATAAATAATAAATAGTAAAATAATGTGAATCGTCAGTCATGTAATAATTTATTCCTTTAGGTTCAATAACTGCGATGAGTGATGTTTTTAGTTCACATCAACAATTTTTTAGTACGAGTAGCGACATCTGTTAGCGTAAGTTAGGGAACTGCTAGATTAAAATATAGAAAAAACTGCCATTAACAATTAATACGTAATTAGTGATTAAGTACATCTGTTTAAAAAAATACAATTTAACTTTTTATAAAATAATTTGAAGCAATATGGTACGAACAATCTTAATGATAGCAACTTTGCTTTGAATTTCTTTGCATTTGAATTTAGAATATTTTTTCCGTGATATTGAAAAAAAAGGATTTTAGAGTATTTAGTTTTAATGATTCTTTCCCTTGATTAGAAAAACGCAAAATGCAGTTATTGTTTAGGAATTTCAGGGGTTTCTACTCAACTGCACAACAATTTATTCTACTCTATTGTACGTCTTTATTATGTACCTTTATGTTTTGTGCTTCATAGTAACCATATACTTATTAAGTCTTAGAGAAATAAATGCGGTAGGTGATATTTTTTCTCTATTACAACAGGTACGTTTTGTATTCTTCTGGGGTATTTTAAAAGTTATATGTAATATTGTAAGTGATGAATTTCAGCAATATTAGGGACGTAGTATTTACAATGACTAACGTACGCTATTCATTACGAAGTATTAGTAATCAAATATCGGGTAGTCACTAGACATGCGTTTGGTGGGAGTCGGTTAAGCAATCTTAGTTTACTTGCAATTTCTTGTTACAAAGAATTAATGATAAGAATGTATTATTCTGTCCAAACGAAAATACGTAATGTAATGTGATAGACTCTAGATATGTAAGTTAAATTACTCGTTGCTTCATTTGTGTTAGTGTATAATTTAGTCTTTCAATCCTTTTTTATTATAACATGTATCCGCTAGGTGGCGCTTTTAAGGTTTGCTATTCGTCAAAAGATGGCGTTGTTTTTATTGTTATTTTGTTTGGAACTGCAGTTTGATAAGTAAATGTTCAAACTAGCAATAATTAGTTATATGATGCGTTAACCCCACCTTATAGTACTTAGACCTATATAAACTTGATAGACTGAATTGTTGTTTTATTTGTACTTTATTTAGAAGTGATTTCTTTTGAAATAAAAGCTAGAAATGACCACGACAGATTTAAGGATAAATGTGTGGCAGCATAATGCGTGAAATAAAACAACACATTACTAAGATAATTATTAGCCCCAGTCAGTTCAATGTTTGGTGTATTGCTCTGCTCTGTGTGCTCTATGTTCCTCTATATTTTTATTAATATGTATTTATTATGCGTATCGCTTGATCTGCCAAGTATATAGTACTTGACACCCAGCTTTGGTGCAAAATAACACTTTCATTTTTAAATTTACTTAGTTAATTGCAATGATGACAGTTTACGAAATTGTCAGTTTTAGCAGGAAGTCCATCATTGTGCCTTGTACGGCAAAAACCACTCATTCCTATCACATGGACTCTTGTTTTAAATATTAAGTAAAACAAATATTTGTACATAAAAAAGTCACTTTATTTGTTATCTACAGTTAGATATAAAATAAATTACATAATGATTTTCATGGTTTCGGCTGCGGCGTCCGTGGCTACAATATACAATTTTTCATACATCTTAATAACTTTACATTTAAGTAAGAATACACTATACCATTGCACAAAATACAATTTTATCGTCACAACTTATTCAGTTCTAATTTCTTTCGCATTTGTTCATAATATTTACAAAAGTGTCCGCTATTCAACAATAGATGGCGTTGAACGGATGTGGTTTGATAAAATCTCTCGAATCTACACACGCGTTTAATGCCATCTAGTGTGAAGTTGTAGAAAACTAAATAGGAAAAAATATTAGAATGGCATTTTCACTAGGGTTGTCTTTTCTACAAGTTTTATAACATAAACCGAAGTTCAACAAATACATAAGTAGATTATGAATACATCTTACTACTTAAAAGGAGGAAATGATATAGGATCACTATTTACAAAATGTCATCAGAGATCATTACAATAGATACAAAATGCTTTCGGTACACACTACGGGACTAACGTCACAATATCAGTAGCAGCACGAACATCATGGACTCACCAACACTACATCTGTAGGAGATACATAGTAATTATAGGCAATGGAGTGAAGGTCAGCCACTGAGGTTCGAGTGTGGCCAGGATGTTCCCTGAGGTATAGTACAGTACAGAGCAGTAAATTATTTCACTGTTTACAGTAAAAACATATGAAATTGGCAGTGATCAATGAGGTAATTGTATCTCAACAGTGGAATATTTTACTCACTCTTATGTTTGAAGCCCAGTTGTTACGAAACCAACTGGACGTAACAATTGTTGTATTCAAGCGATTATAAAGATTGCTTACACGGTAGTGTCCATAGAATATCAGTCTGCAGGCATCCGGGCCGGACGCCACGGCCGCACCGCGGTCCTTAACACTAGTTACGTATATCTGTGCGTCGCGGAGTTACACTAGGACTAGACAACGCGACGTCTCACCACTATGTATGCACTGTGTCACTGGCGCGTCACAACACTACGTCAAGCGTCAGCTCACTGACCCGGCGGGGCGGGCTACTGGCAGTGCTTACAGCGGGTCGATGCGAGACTATATCTCGAAGTAAAGGGCCGAACTGACTAGACAGGGCCGTAGTCGGACAGCGGCTGTCCCGAGCGCGCCGAGGGCGCCGCGGTGGGCACGAGCGGCGCGGCGGGCGCCAGGTCGGGCGCCAGCGGGGCGGCGGCCGGCGCCAGCGGGGCGACCGGCGCCGCGGCCGGCCGTCACACGTCCTTGAACAGCGCGCGCGCCGCCGGCGCCGGCTCCCGCGCCGCGCGCGGCCCGCGCCACACGCGGCGCCACGACTCCAGCGTCTTGCCCGACCAGATCCACACGCCCGACGTGATGCCCACGGCCAGCGCCATGAAGTACTTGAGCATGAGCGCGGAGTAGAGCGGGCGCGCCCCGCAGGCGGGCCCGCAGGCCACGCGCCGCAGCCACTGCTCGTGGCCGCCCGCCTCGTACGCCAGGCAGCCTATCACCACGCCCGCCGGCACCGCGTACAGCACGCTGAACACGCCGATCCGAATCATTAACTTCTCCAGCTTGTCTGCTTTGGACCCTGCGCCGACTCCGCCTTGCCGCTTGATCACGGAGCGAATACGGAACAATGACACGAAGCCGGCCAGCAGGAACGTCGCACCGAGCGCGAAGTACACGATGAGCGGCGCCAGCACGTAACGCTTCAAGTTCTCCGGGGACGAGTTCCCGACGTAGCAGATGCCGGCCACAGGGTCGCCGTCGACGGCGCCAGCCAATAACACGGCCACGGTTTTGGCAGCGGGTATAAGCCAAGCGGCCAGGTGGTAGTACTGCGCGTGGCCCGCGATAGCTTCGTTGCCCCACTTGAGTCCCGCGGCGAGGAACCACGCGAAGGACAGCACCACCCACCAAATCGACGACGCCATGCCGAAGAAGTACACGAGCACGAAGACGAGCGTGCAGGCGCCCGGCCCGTTGGCCGACGTGCGCAGGAGCGCGCCCTCGCACACGACCTCGTCGTGGCCCAGCGCCAGGCGCGCCAGGTAGCCCAGCGACACCATGAAGTAGCAGGCGGACAGGTACACGATGGGCCGCTCGGGGTACTTAAAGCGCTGCGAGTCGATGAGGAAGGTGGTGAGGGTCATGAGAGTGCTGGCGGCGCAGAGGCCGGCCCACATGGCGACCCACACGGCCGCGAACTCCTTCTCCTCGCGCGTGAAGAACGCGCCGCGGCACGGCAGCGCGCAGGCCGCCACGCCTGCGGCCGCGCTGCCGTTGTGCAGGGCGCGCACGCCCACGAGCGGGGCCCGGCACGCGCAGGCGCACGCGGGGCCCGCGTCGGCGCCCGCAGCGCTTGCGCAGTTTTTTGGGTCGGTGCAGGCGGGGCGCGGCGGCCGGCGCCCGGGCGGCGGCGGGGGCGGCTCGCGCCCGCGCTCCGTCTCCTCCATGCACAGCTGGTCCGGGTCCCCCGACCGCGGCAGACGCTCGCAGGCCATGCGCTCGGGCCACTGGAACCCGTACTTCTGCATCAGCGGCGCGCACCCGTCCCGGGCCCGCTCGCACACGCTGCGACACGCTGGCAGGGGCTTTGCATAGTCTTCGATGCAGATCGGTGTGTATACAGAACATAGGAAGAACTTCAGGTCAGCGGAACATTTGATCTCGACTAGCGGCCAATATTGGTGGACCTGGAAAAAAATTGCGAAGCAATTAATAACGATCACTTTATGTTCAACCACCGCCCAGGTTGGTAAAATGATAATACCATTGATGTGTACGTTAGTTGCATGTAAAGTTTATAATGCCTACCTCTAGGCCGGCCTCCTCCTGCGTGTCGTGGTCGAGTGCGTTGGGGAAGGAGGTGAGGTTGTACCCGATGCCGCGACACATGGGGATAGTGATCTCCTGGCAGCGCGGCTGCAGCGCGCCGGCCCGCGCCACCAGCGCGCCCGCCACCAACCACCACACCCACATCGTCATGCTGCTACCACGCCCGCATCTGTAACATCAATCACGACACTATACTCTCAACATCTACAATTTGAACGCGAAATGTGTTGTTTAATTATTAATCTAGTTAATTCTTGTTTAAATCATTCTGTACACTGTAACACACCTCTTTAATCAATTACTAAAATTCCACACTAATTACGATAAACACAGATATCATGACAGATGACGCGGGTAGTGTTCAAAGAATAACACGAATGTTAATTTACGATTCACTAATTGTACGCAGTACTTACTGGCACTAGTATTTAAGTTACATAATGTGACACTTATATTTAATTATAAGGATATCGAGGTACAGTTGATGTTGAGGTAAACGCGACAACAAAACAATCATGTTTGTTGTTGAGACGGGCGCGCGGCACACAGCGCAGAGTGTGCCAGCCGTGTAGGCGGCAGTATCGCGCCAATCTGGCCGATATCGCCGCTTATCGCTCGGTATCAGTACACGGCGATTACACAATATCTCGCATCGCATTGTGCCCCGACTACTGTTCGTTTATTGTCATACCATGTCGATAACTTGCTGATAATTGTACACAATCGTTTGGGAAATCCTTTGTATTGCTATTTTAGTGCTTAGGCATCATTTATAGCCTCTTCCGCTTCAAATGTAGTTTATTTACTATGTCATAATACTCATTACAGTTATTATATTTTTATTGTGGAAATGTGATGTAAGATTGTTGTAAACGTGTTCCTACATATGCCGCGACCGCGCCAGAGATGACGATTCCTACTAATTTGTAAGTGATTATCATTTGCGAGGCCGATGTTTTAGTTAATTAGGTCAATATAAACATTAGTCTCATCAAAGACGGATGCCGATTACAAATGAATAGGTAATTAAAAGGCGGTGTCACTTTATTGTGGTAAGTTAAAATTAATCGTTTTGTCAATAATAGCCAATAAATATAGCGATTAAATCTGTTTTGTTAGAAAATTTAAACGAAAAACGTCGGAAAATTTTCACACACACAACCTTCTCAGGTTCAAATATTTTTAAACAAAAGGGAAGATTTAAAATATTTGTGAAGAATATCGACGCAGTCGATTCGGAAATAGTAGAGTTAAATGGTTTTATTTATTTTTGGACCAACATAAACGGTGGCTTGGCATGACATGTGATCAGCTCGGTGCAGAATCGACTGCATACTGTTAACACATTGTACCTTTCATACTAAACCCCACAAACGCAACTGGTCTTTGAGTTTTGTTACGTAGAGCTTTTAGATACTGCAGTTAAATAAATTGTTTTAGAGAAAATGAGCATTGAGCGACAAATTTATCGAAGAATATGCTATTTTGCATAACATTTAATGTCATGGATTTCCGCCGTAATAGTAACGCCGATTTAATAGTTTATTTTTTTAATAAATGAGCAGTTAAATCACGAATACGTGTTTTCATTCTAATTAGATGATAGGTAACAATATATTTTATGTATTTAGCAAGGGTTATCCTGCATCCAGTCTGCATTTAACTGATCTGTATTTTTTCCGTCGCGCTCGACGTCCGTACGTATCGTCAGTTAACGCGCTTTTAACGACACGTTATATCGACACATGGCCGCTTTGGACGTACAAACAGACAACACAACACTGATTCCACCGTTAAATTAAATTAGCCGTGAGCTATTTCAAATTCTGTGGTTCCAACTATTTAATTGTAGCGTGCACCGTGTAATGGGAGGTTTTACACTAATAAAATGTTACAAAGTTTGTGTATGAAATTAGTAGCTTAATAACTTTTTTTGTTTGATGACGTTCTCTATGGTTTTTAGTAGTTGAGAGATTATGATAGGATGGGTCAATATGTACGCCCCTATAATGATAGCTCCGTAGTTTTTGTTCTGTTTGTTGCTAAAGACCCTTTGTGTTGTCAGCTATCTTCAACTCATTCGTTGATGCGACTCGCTATAATTCAGTCGCGATTAACAACAATATAAAGTGCGCAGTGAATGGTTAGTGTCAGCACTTTATTTATTGTAATTTGTATCGGTTCTATTTTAAACAGTGCGCAATGAAACCTCATAATTTGTAATACTTATGAGCAGGCGTGGATGTGAGTCTGTTTGATCATTAACCAAGTACTAAACTCCGAGGATGCATAGCTGATCTCGCGGAGAGAATTACATGTGTATTTTTATAATAGTGTTGCGTTTGGTACTGCAATCATATGATAAAGTTTCATTTAAATTGTTTATTAATAATAGTGGGATTAATTTTATGCAGATGTTATGATACATTATGCATAGCAGTAACTCGGATTTATACCCAGCACCCATAAAAGTCTAGATCCAGGAAAGATATGCTAACATTTTTACAAGAAATAGTCTAGACTGGACTAGAGCATAACTGGCGGCACGCTAATGAAGCGTAAAAACGCGCATTATGCGTTTAATAAGGCAGCGATTTGAATTGAATGGAATCGAAACGTATCGTAGTTGTATAAACAAACGCCGGTCGTAAAGCTGAGCTGGTTCCCGGAACGATACGCGTGTGCAGGCCGGGGTCGCACTGCCAGCGACCAACACTCATTAGGGCTATATTCTCACAGATGAAACAAATTCGACTTGGTTCGACGTGAGGACAACAGAATAAAACTTATACTATATACATGTGCGTAGGTTTATAATAAAACAAATCATTAATTACAATCTGTAATGTGTTAAAAGTAATGTATTCACGCCTAACGTTAATTGTCTATTTAAATATTTATTGGCCAGTCGTCAATTCACGGCTGTAAACTTAAACGATGACTCAGTGTTACTTAACACAGAAAGATGTTAATGGCCGTTTTAACGTGAATGTCTGCAAGCGTTCCCGACACTTTAATGCGTAAATATTGAATGCATAACAATAAATATAAGTGCATTGCGTTTGAATAGTTGATTTCATATGGAAATTGCGATAGATGAAATAGAGCGTTGTACTTTTTGCTTACAATAGGCCTCCGCTGTGATGGCGAGCGAGCCCTGCCCTGTATTACAGTCGCACGGCTATTCCGCTTCACTGGAAATAGAATAGTTGGCGACGCGAGTTACCAACGACACCTTATAGCCAGAACGTGTTCCTGCGAGCCGCGCGCCGCCGCCCGCGGGACCTGCCGTGTTTGCTTTAAAACTAATTTTATTGAGTTATTCAGAACTGGGCTATTTGTATTAGTTCCGCGTCCTGGCAGTGCGTTAACTCGATGGCTGTTTAGAATCGACTGTTTGAATTTATTCGCGTGACCGTATCGCGAGCCAGACGCCAGGAAATTGAGCCGTTCCTTACTACAGCGCTACATGTACACGTAACACAGAAAGCGCCATTTATCATACACATTTGACAACTTTCATAGATTATGTGGGCATTACTAGTCTTTGAGTTTAAATAAATGAGCTGCATCCTGAGTCCGCTGGCAATTTGCCACAAAAATCACAAATACTTGTCATAAAGAAACACTTCTTAGGTGTCATTTTACTCAGCGTTTGTCATGTGGCTGGTCGATTGGGTTCGAAATTGGCATATATTCGTGGTGTTCCGAGGTTGATGCCCGATCGCCTGGCGAACTGCCAAACTGTTTAAAAGCTTATAGACTTCTGTTTTGGGACAAGTTACTGACGTGGGCGGGTCTTGTACTAATGTAGGGACACTGCCTCTATTTATAGCTCATTACAGGTACAGCGCACATGCTAAACATTGGCTCGTGACATAACACACCGTGCAAACGTCTGTTTCAAGAGATGACGTGAATCTTTTAAATTCAGGAGATTTAAATCACGTTTTACTTTATCGTCGATCATTTTGTAGGAAATGTAGAGGATTCTTTTATTGCTCTGTCTGATAGCAAAACGACTATTGGAAAGTGTTCCGTGAAAGGAATGTAATGAAGCATTCCTACGGCGGACAGGACGGAGAGACGAGAGACTGGCTATTCAGCTAATAAGTACTCAGCAGGCTTACTTTCATTGATTTTCCCAAGTTTCCAATTAGATTAAATTTGGTGCGAGCAGTCCGCTGTCACTCGAAGCTTACACCGCTTGTTTCTACGTTTGCTGCTAATGAAAATGCGTACAAACGACGTGTGCACGTGGTCAAATGTTCGCAATCGACACGCGCACTTTACGAGCGCAGCTCATCGCCAGCGACAAGCAGGCACAGCTCCACCGGCGACCAACTCATTAACTTCCACAAATATGTACTACCAATATTATTAGCATTTAGAAGCAGAACATTCCTATTCACCATTTTATTGAATCTATGAAATTGCAAGCCCACGGTATGCTAGTACTGGGATAGTCTGAATTATTTGTTGATTAACTATCGTTTTATAATTATACAAACATTAAAAGTTTAGTAAATGAGCAGGAATGCTCCGTAAACACTGACATTTTACCGTGTTACCTCGACAGCTAATAAAAACTAAACAATATGAAGATTAGAACTCATCGATTCAATTACTGTGAATCGTCTGTGTTTCCAATTAACATATCTCACGTATTTTGCAGCACGTTGTGGGAATAACTTGCGAGTTTTTAGCTGGCGGGATTGATACTTCGTCGAGTAATTACGACCGCGAGTCTATCCCGTCACATTCCAACGTTAGAGGTACCTAGTTAATGGTATTAATTGTAGTAAACTTGCGAAGCTTCAGTATTTAAGTTGGTGTCATTAATATATGTGCGCGCGTAAACAAATGATGTAGGTGGATTCTGTGTAACGCAATGCGCTTACCATAACAGCCTCCGCCCGTGCAATAAAACTATTATAGCTTTAATTTTATAGTTATTTATATTTACGAGGCTGCACAATGGACGCAGCCCACATCTCGCGACCGCGCGACTCGCGGTCGTCGCGGTCGCGTCGTAAACGCTGCGACTTGACGGTCGCGTTGCCGTCGCCGTCGCAGTCGTCGAACGCTATTTTACGACCGATTGCTTCCTGTGTGCTGAGGAATATTACTCGTATGCACATGATGTATGAACCCGACGCGTATTCGCAA